CTTTTCCATGAGTAAGGCTGGGTTTACTCAGATGTTGCAGCTCTTTCCCAGTCCTATTTTGCGAGCCTTTTAGCCTAAACGGACTATTCCTAAAGTTGCGCAGTAATGTACCAAACAGTGTTTCTTTGCTATTCACAAGGTTTTTCCTGGCCAATTCTTTCAGAAGTGGAAGGCCTCTTCCTTCTTCCTAGGCTGTCTCAGTCTATAAACTGGGCTGTTTCCTATGCACCAGGTGCATCTCGCTGGGTTTTAAACACAGAGGCTCAGCCTCAAAACTCACGTCTACATGTCACCACTGTAGGACAAACCGACAGACAAGTTTCTCCTGCTGTTGGAGACCTCTCTTATCCCCCCCACCTGGGTCCCTGTGGCTGACTGTTCCTCTGTCTGGCTTCCTGTCTTTTATTCCCCTTTCTCCTGCTCTTCTGGCCTACTTCTTTGGGTGTCCCTGAGTTTCCCCTCACCTAATCCCTTCGGCTGATTGCTCTTCTCTTTGGCTCCCTGGGTTTTACCCCTTTCTCCTGCTCTTCGGGCCTGCTACTTTGTGCTACGTCCGTGCTTACCTTGCTCCCGGAGACCCGGTCCCTCTCGGGAGGGTAACAAGGGAGCCGTCTGAGCACTAGTGACAGACATACGTAAATGGAGAGATACAAATAGACATACATAAATGGAGAGATAGAACATGTTCATGTTTTGGAAAATTCAATACAGTGTTGATAAGAATTCAAATATCCTTAAACTAATTCATAGATCTAGTGCAGTAACAGTAGGGTATTTTTTTTAGGGTAGAAATCCAAAATCTGATTCTAAAATCTAACACAAGTTTGTAAAAATACAAAGGAAATGCACCATAATTTTGAAAAAAAGTATAGAAGTACCTAAACTTTGATTTCAGGATTTACTATAAAGTTAACAGAATTTAGACAGTGAGGTATTTGTGTAAGAATTGTTGTTGTTTTGTTGTTATGTGCCCTTGAGTCGGACCCGACTCATAGCGACCCCTCCTTGGGTTTCCGAGGCAGTATCACTACTAACCAGAAGGTTGGTGGTTCAAACCCACCAGCCACTCCTCGGAAGGAAGATGTGTAAGAATAGTCGTGCATTTATTTAAATAGTATCGCGATCGTGAGCCGGTGTGCCCGTTCGCGTGTTCCGCTGAGCTCGAGAACCTGCCTGGTGCGGGCCAACGGCCGCGAAGCAGCACACTGGTGGGTCACTGACTCTCACTAGCCAGATGCATTGGCCTTCGTAGCCTCAGCGTAGAGACTGCTTTCTGACTGGAGAGCCCGGGAGGCCCGGCTAGGGCGGCGTGACGTCAGCGAAGGCGTGGCCGGGCCCTGCAGATCAGCTTGCTTGCTGGCGGAGAAGGCGTGCCGGGGGCTGGGTGGAGGCGCGGGCGGCGTGGCCACAGAGGCGGTAACGTCACGGGGCGGTGCTGCCGGCGCGCGAGGAGGTAAGCACGACGGCGGGCGGCGGCGCTTACTTGAGGAGGTGAGTGCCCGGAGCAGCTGTCGCGGCCACAGTGCGTTGCTAATTATGTCTCTGAGGAGCAGCCTCTTGCGTTTCCTCCCCACTCAAGTGCATTCTGTCCTGAAGAAATCCGTCCACTCCGTATCTGTGATAGGAGCTCCATTTGCACAGGGACAGGTGAGAACTGAGATCTGGCATCGATGGGTAGGTTCCCTGCCCCTCAGAACCTGCAGAAAGCGGGAAGGTGGGGGGAGCAGGAGGAGAGGAGGAGATGGGGAGAAACTGAGAGGGGAGAAAGCCTGTGGTTTCCCGCGATTGGACACCCGGAGCACGTGGGGTTATCCCCGGCGAAGGAAAATGGGGAGGGAGAGAAGGGGTGGAGAGCACTGTGCGTGAGATGTGGGCAGGGGGTTAGAGAGCTGGCTGGTTTCTGCGGCCTCCGCAGAGAGAGCGACAAAGCGGTGAAGTCCAGCTTGGTGGTGGAGGGGAGGCAAGGAGGAGTAGACGGGCTGGAGGAGGAAAAACCGGTCAGAATCTCCGGTGGGAAATCGAGGGAGAAGTTAAAGAGAGCGACCGAGGATTTAAGGCGTCAGGGTCCATTTTCTCAGAGCTTTAACTGGGAAGGAAATTCGCGCTAGCCTCTAGCGCTGGAAGACGGCAGGGGCTGTTTTGTTCTTTCTTCAGTGAAAGAAACCTGCCTTGGTGGAGAGCCCGCTGGTCAAGAAGCGTGAACTCTGGCTCCAGTTCCCCACACCCACCCACTAGATCCTGACCTGGGCTCAGCCTTTCCACCTATCTTGATCTCTGGTCAACCTTCCCACAAGGAGGGGCCTGGAAGGCTGATTTGTTTGCAGTGATGGACTTGTTTTCTCCGTCTCCTCGGTGTCACTTCTTATCCTGCAAGTGTTTGTTGAAGCAACCAGACCTTAGAGATGGGAGTGATAGGTGGCAGGCTAGTGCCCTCACAGGTTCACAGAGGCATCTATTGAGAACTAAAATTTCAGACTTCTAATTTCTAATTGTGTAATTTGTGTGACAGAAAAGAAAAGGAGTGGAATATGGTCCAGCTGCTGTAAGAGAAGCTGGCTTGATGAAAAGGCTTTCCAATTTAGGTAAGTGGCTGGATACTAGATGTCTCTACAAGGCTGTTAACAGTAGTTCAGTCTGATCTTTAATATCTGTGGACTGCAGTGTTAGCTGTGTGCATGGAAACAGTCTGCCATGTCTTCCATCCTCCCTTGGATTGCATCTACAGCTTAAGATCTATCAGGGAGTCCTCAGGGAAAGTCTTGTGCTAAAGAGAATAAACATGTGGAAGGCAAGAAGGTAGAGTGAGGCAGGGCCTGGAACAAGCTGTTAGTGACTCCAAAGTGGTGCTGAGAATGTTAGCGCAACCTTTATTGCACAGCCAGCCTTTCCCTCACCCTAAAATTCTAGCTTTCCCAACTCAATCATGACATACTTAATGACTCATCAGTCTCACCAATTTCCTGTCTTCAAGTTACTCATTTCCTCCCTAGAGTTATTATAAATAGTGTTTTTCAAACTTCCCTGATTATGAAAATCACCTGGGTTGCATGTTAAAAATATAGATTTCTAGGCTCATCCATGGGAGAGTCAGGGTCATTGAGTCTAAGGGACCCCAGTGTGCATTTTCACAAGCATAGCAGGTAATTGGGAGTAAGGTTGCAGTCTTATTAGGATAATACTCTAAATTTTTAGAACCAGAAGTAAATGTGACTTAAAGATAAACATCATTTATACAGTAATAGAGAATCCTTCTTTTAATACAGGGCACAAAATTCTACTACCTTTATGGTAGGGAAGTTCTTCCTTGTATCTAATCCAAGTGGCTACCGTCCAAGGCCATCTTTTCCATTCATATCAGGACCTTTCATATATCTTTTCTGGAGCTAAAAGTGCTAAAGGTGTGGCAGCAGAGATCTGTAGATCCTGGATTTGATAATACAGAATCTAGTTAAACAACTATTCCCCATCCCACTCTGAAACATCACCTACTGATTATGAGTTTCAAGCATAGATCCCCTTTTTCCCAAACACAGAGGAATAATGAGGTCGCTGAAATCACCTTGAGTTAAGGTGTACTTTATGTGTTTCAAAGTACATATGGATGTAGTGTCTTGAGTTGAGTACACAAATCTTTCTTTTCTCTATGTTAAATATAAATATTTGCAGTTCTTTCTTTAGTAGGGTCTTTTCCTTAATCATTCTAATAACTCTCCAAGTTCACCACCGAAGATGAAAGATAAATCGCTAAAGAGTTAGTCTTCTTTAGATGTGTCACAAGTTACTAATGGGAGGAAGTTATTCCCACTTATAGATGAGGACAGAAAAAAAAAAAAACCCGCCAAACTCATTGCTATCGAGTATATTCAACTCATAGCAACCGCTTCTTGGGTGTCCAAGGCTGTATCTCTACGGAAGTAGATTGCCCAATCTTCCTTTCAAGGAGTGGCTGGTGGGTTTGAACCACTAGCCTTCTGGTAGCAGTCGAATGCCTTAGGCACTATGCACCAGAGCTCCTATAAATGAAGATACTGTCCCTTTAAATCAGCTTAGACACATTCTGTCTTTTTAAAACACTGAAGACAACAGTCTCTGGTAATCACTATTTTTACTATTGGCTAAGTTTCTGCAGCCGATCTGATGAGCTGGGTTAGGCATTGCTCAAATTGTGGCTAGATTCTGCTTTCAGAGCCTTTTGACAAGTACCCAGTAAGCAGGTAAGCTCAGGCTTACTTGTGGTTACTTACTTATCTGTAGTGAACAGTTTCACATGTTTTTTTACCACATCAGTTGTTCACTGCAAATTAATAAGTGAGTGCATTTAAGCCCATGCTTACCTTGCTTATTGGGTAATCTGTCCTGTTTATACCACCTCTCCTTTCCTGTCACAGCTCATGGTATTTTTTCCATTCGAATGTAAGGGGAAGCCATTCTCCTTTAATTACTATTCTCTCTAGTACTTCCTCTTTAAACATCTAACCTAACATGATAAAGTCTCTGTTTATTTGGCCTTGTCTTTCTTCTTCAAATATTTTAAATTTTTCAATTTATATCCCTACCCTGTAGTAAATGGTGGCCTGCAGTCTGAAATAGAATCTCACTGCACAGTAATAAGAGTGTGGCACTCAGCAGATTTCCAGTATGTGGGTTTGGCTCATCTCTGGAGACATGTTGGAGAAAATTGCCAAGAGAAGTTTCAGTTGCTGTATTCCTAAGCAGTACCAACATAATTTAAGTCCTTTGAGCATTTTCCAATAAGCAGCATGAGTCAAATTATAAGGGGGAGAAGACCAGTGGAAAGGTAACTTTCACAGCTCCCTTTTTTCCTTACCTTCTGCTCTGATGTCACAGGCTGCTGGTTTGCCATGAATCAGTTAAACTTTTTTCTTGAATGAATGTATTTGACTTAGTATCTGGGCTTGTTTGTTCCTTTCCCAGGGCTTCGTGAGGGCACTTAGGGAACTCTAGTGGTTCACTGCCTAAGCTGTTTGACTGTTAACCAGAAGGTTGGTGGTTCAAACCCACCAGCTGCTCCATGGAAAGATGATGAGGCAGTCTACTTCTGTCAAGATTTACTGCCTCAGAAACCCAGTGGGGGTCACTTTGAGTCAGAATCGACTTGATAGCAGTGAGTTGGGTTTGGTTTTGGTTTAGTTAGGGCACTTAGTGGTTCTGCTCTCATGTAACCACTTACTTTGTTGTTGTTGTTATGTGCCGTCGAGTCAAACCCGACTCATAGCGACCCCTCCTTGGGTTTCCGAGGCAGTATCACTACGGAAGTAGGATTGCCCAACCTTCCTTCCGAGGAGTGGCTGGTGGGTTTGAACCGCCAGCCGTCTGGTTAGCAGGCAAGTGTCTTAGCCACTATGCTACCAGAGCTCCCAACCACTTACTCTAGAGTATACAAAAAAAAATCCCACTGCCATCAAGTTGATTCTGACTCAAAGCGACCCCATTGGGTTTCTGAGGTGGTAAATCTTTATGCAAGTAGATTGCCCAGCCTTGCTTCTGTGGAGTGGCTGGTGGGTTTGAACCACCAACCTTCTGGTTACTTCTGGTTAGCAGTCAGCTGCCTTAGACACCATGCTACCAGAGCTCCTTACTTTAGGGTATACCAAAAAAGCCAAACTCATTGCCATTGAGTCGATTCCAACTCATAGTGACCTCTCTGGGTTTCTGAGGTGGTAAATCTTTGTGGAAGTAGCTAGCCCACCAGAGTAGCTGGTGGGTTTGAACCGCCAACCTTCTGGTTAGCAGTCAAATGCCTTAGGCACTACACCACCAGAGTTCCTTGCTTTAGGGTACAAAGAGTGCTTAAAAGAAACGAAGAGGCATTGCTGTGGCATGGCACAGGGGCAGTGCATCTGCTCCTGATTATGGGTAGCTCTGATAGTCATGGTAATTTGTTTGCCTTTTCTCTTCAAAAATAGAATGAGTCTTCTGTGGGTAAAGATAGCTCTCAGCTGAGATTAACACTTTGAGTTCTTTATAATTATGGTAACTTGACCCAGCTGTGGTACTGGAAAGACGTGACAGCCACTGGGACAGATGTCTAGATGAACTTGTCATTGTGGTTAGGCCAAGTATCCTGGAGTTGAGAAAGCCAATTGGGGAGCTATTCTGTTTCTCCTCAGTTAGGCTGTTGTTGGGGAGCTCTGGTAGTATAGTGCCTAAGGCACTTGACTGCTAACCAGAAGGCTGGTGGTTGGAACTCACCAGCCACTCCTTGGAAGGAAGGTTGGGCAATCTACTTCTGTAGAGCTACCGCCTCAGAAACCCAAAGAGGGGTCACTATGAGTCGGGTCTGATTTGATGGCACATAACAACAACAACAACAAGGCTGTTGTTGTGTGCCATCGAGTTGATTCTGACTCATAGCAACCCTATAGAACAGAGCAACACTGCCCCACAGGGTTTCCTGGGCTGTATAATCTTCATGGGAGCAAATTTCTACATCTTTCTCCCTCGAAGCGGCTGGTGGGTTTGAATTGCCAGCCTTTTGGTTAGCAGTTGAATGCTTAACCATTGCTCCATCAGGGCTCCTTTCAACTAGGCTAGGGACATTTATTCTTTTTTTCCCCCAACATTTTATCATGTTTTAGGTGAAAGTTTCCACAGCAGATTAGTTTCTCATTCAATAATTCATATACACAGATGTTCTGTGACATAGAATGCTCTCTGCACAATGTATCTGCACTCTCCCCATTTCCGTCCTGCATCCAGGGTTTCCGTCCCTCCAGTTTCCCTGCCCCTCCTCAGCTTCTCATCTGTGCTTTTGCTTTTGGTTTAATCTCATAAAGTTGATTGTCCTAAGGAGCAGATTCCTCAAGGGTGTTACTCTTTATTTTATAAGGCAATCTATTGTTTGATTGAAAGATGACCTCTGGGAGTGGTTTCAGTTCCAGGTTAAAAGGGTGTCTTTGGGTGATAGTCTTAGGAATTCCTTTAATCTCTATCAGTCTACTAAGTCTGGTATTTTTAAGAATTAGAGGTTTTTCTACATTTCCCTCCCATTCTAACCAGGACCTTCTGTTGTGTTCTTGGTCAGAGCAGTTAGGGGTGGTAGCCAGGCACCGTCTAGTTCTTCTGGTCTCAAGCTAGAGGAGTGTTTTGGTCCTCTAGTGCCACTTTAACAGATGATACCACAAATGGGTGGCTTTAACAAACATGGATTTGTTCCCTTACAGTTTTGGAGGCTAGAAGTCCAGGTTTAAAGTGCCAGCTGTAGGGGCTAGGTGAAAGCTCCTTGACCTTGGGCTTCCCCTCTGCCTCTTGCTCCTGGCTCACTGAAGCTGGAGGAGTCTCTTAAGGCAGCTGTTGGTTGGTGAGGCAAACAAACCCAAGGCTGACAAGTAAAATGGCACAGTCCCAAGATTATCACACAACATGGTAGGCCACTGGTTCAGGTCCAGGAACAATCCCAAGATCATCAGACAACATGGCAGGCTGCTGACGGAAGACTCACGGGGTTCAAGTGTGTCAAAAAGCTGCAGAGCCCTTTCTCAACACTTTTCCTTATACTCTGGAAGCAGACCACATCCCTAAGGCAGCCGCTTAGCTACTCACTGCAGATTCCAACATGGAG